GTGTACATCAGGCCACGGCCCTGCCCAGGCCTGTGCTGGCCCCACAAGCCGTGCTCAGCTTGACTGAAGGTTGAGCTGCTGTGTCAGGCCACCTCAGTGAGAGTCTTCCTCATGATCTCTGACCCCACTTTACCATGTCTTTGGGCATGTTATCAGAAAGGGGGTCCCTGAAGATAGCCACAAACCTAGTGACGTAGAACACACAGTTACAATCTCACGCTCATGTGGACCAGACATTGTGTTCGCCGATGCCAGCAGGAGCTGTGGTCTCATCTGAGACGCAACAGAGAAGGATCTGCTCATAGGGCAGGCTGTGGTGACCTGCAGGCATTGGCTGGAGGACGTCCTCAGCTCGCTGCCACCTTAGTCCCCCCAACACTGGCGGTCTGCAGCCTGACAGCTTCCTTCTGCAGAGCCAGGGAGGAGAGAGAGGCCAGCAAGATGGCAGTCAGTCTTATGTGAAATGATCATGTAATCACGTCCGGCCATCACCTTGGCCACCTTTAGTCAGAGCGAGTCCACCTGCCGCCCATGCTCAAGGTGAGGGATTGTACAAAAGGTCTAGTCTGTGTGCCTTTCCATTGCTGCACGATGCTGTCTCCTGCACCTGTCCCCATGCTCTGCCACCTGGTTCCCTCCTCACCTGCACCTTTCCCGTGCTCTGCCTCCTGTTCCCTTCCTCACCGGCACCTGTCCCTGTGCTCTGCCACCTGGTCCCCTCCTCACCTGCACCTGTACCCATGCTCTGTCACCTGGTCCCCTCCTCACCTGCACCTGTCCCCATGCTCTGCTGCCTGGTCCCCTCTGCATCTGCACCTGTTCCCATGCTCTGCCTCCTGGTCCCCTCTGCCTGCACCTCTCCACGTGCTTTGCCACCTGGTCCCCTCTGCACCTGCACCTGTCCCCATGCTCTGCTGCCTGGTCCCCTGCACAGCTCTGGTGTCATGCTCTCTGAGAACACATCTGCTCATCATTGCCTTGTCTCAGCCAGAGCTTGGGCCCCGGAGGTGGGACTGCATGTGCTCTGCATGCTGCTGGCACACTGGAAATATTTAACAAATCCTTGAGCTCACTAATCACATCATTCAGCTTTTGAAAACACATCTTTTATGTACAGCTTTTGGAAAATGTATTGTTGTTAAGTGCCATCAGGTCGAGAACGACTCATAGTGACCCTATGAATAACTGACCTGAACCCTGCCCTAACCTGTGTCGTCCTCATCATCTGGCACGCAAGATAGAGTCCGTTATTGAAGGCACCACTCAGTCCATCCAGAGTCTTCCTCTTCACAGACCCTCCGTCTCGCCAGTGTGATGTCCCTTTCCAAGGAAAGAGCCTCATCTAGCTACAAGCTCAGAGTATGAGAGAAAAGCTGCACCAGCCTTGCCTCTACGGAGTACTCTTCTTTTATATATATACACACACACATACATATATACACACACACATACATATACACACACATACTACATATATACACATATATACACACATACTACATATATACACATATACGTGCATATATATATACTACATACATATACATATATATACATACATATATACACACAGACATATGCAAATATGTATGTGTGTATATATATTTTTTAACTTTACTGTGATTTCAACAAAAGTTTGCAGAAAAGTTGGATTTTCATTCATTCATTGTATATTTTCCTCTCACCCTCTCCCTTCCCCCCTCCCAGTACACTTTATTTTTGTCTTTTAATATTTATTCTTTCATCGTTGCACATTTTCCTCCCTTGCTCCGCTTCCTGTCCACTTTTCAATGAGCCTCTTATTCTGGATTGTTGTCACACATAGGATGTCTAATCACACATTCCTTTTAAGTAGCTCTTCCCTCCCTCGACTTTTCCAATGCAGTGTTCGTTATCTATCTACTCTTCCTGTCGTTCTCCCAAACTCTCACGTCACACTTGTTTTATAGCAGTGTTGTTATGCAGTGTTTGTCCTCTTGTGACTGAGATATTTCACTCAGCATAATGTTCTCCACGGTTTCCCATGTTGTGTAATGTTTTACAAGTTCATTGTTTTTCAAAGCCATATAGTATTCCGTTATGTGAATGTACCATAGTTTTCTATCCATTTGTTTGCTGCTGGACACTTGGGTTGCATCCATCTCTTTGCTATTGGTGTTTTGGTTGGGCTTTTTTTTTATAATTTTAATGAAAATTTACAGACTTTGGATTTCCATTCATTCATTATTACACACATTATCCCCTGCCCACACCTCGCCCCTGTTCGCTTTTCTTTTTGAAAAGTAAAAAAAAAATCTTTCATTGTTACATAATTCCCCCATGCACCTGTCCACTCCACTATGCAGCTTTCATTCTGAACTTTTGTCATGGCAATAATACCTAATCATATATTCCTCCTAAACAGTTCTCTCCCTCACCTGTTTCAATGCAGTATACATTATTTATCCTCTCTTTTCTTAGTTTCCCCCAACCCAATGTCAGTCTCACTTTAAAACAGTGATATTATGCAGTATTTGTCCTTTTGTGACTGAGATATTTCACTCAGCATAATGTCCTCCAAGATCACCCATTTGATATAATATTTCATGAGTTCCTTGTTTTTCAATGCAGCATAGTATTCCATTATGTGAATATACCACAGCTTCTCTATCCATTCATTTG